GTGCTTTTTTCTCCATAATCATGGAAGAGAATACGGAACTATTCAATAGCGAATTAAATCAGGAGTTGTCTAAAGTTTGTGAAGAAATGGAGAGGGGTCAACTGTTCGATTCGTCATACGATGATGAGTTGTATCATCACTGTGCGATGGTTGAAACACAGTTTAAGTATGTAAAATAAACATTCATTTCGATCATAATTTACATATTGTCTTATACAGTTTTTAATAAATTTAAACATTTTAGCAGTCAACCACTATAACTTGGAAGAGGAACGAAGCGAACGTGCAGCAAAGAATCCAAGATCATCAAAAAACCAACAACGGAAGCAGAAGCGCATACCTCTGCAGGGAACAGTATCAGTAACGATGATCAAGTGGAATGTTCAACGTGCCATATATTTATCAATAAACGGTATTTAGCTAATCATTTTAAAAGTAATGTTCATAAAAGTAATCTTTTAAATTCACATTATTCTTTATCAAACGTTAGTGTTATTGAATCTGCTTTTGGAAATAGGATTTTAACTTATATAATCAAGAGTAGAGTAGATCGTTCGACATGGGTAAATTTTGAAACTCCTGAACTATTTTTAAATTCTATTAAAGATGATATTTTATTTTTATTACAAGAGTGTATTCATCAACACATAATTTTTAAGGTAAACTTCATATTGCATGCTGATTTTGTTCAACAAACTAAAGATATTCATGATACTTTCGATTTTCAAACGCTTAACTATATTATTTGTCAAGGAGATGACTTAAATATTTTTCTTTCATCTTTAAATGATACAATTACTACTAAAATTAGTGCTTTCGAAAAAAAAGATAGTGGATGGAGTCTAAAAAACATAAAATCTATAGACATGAATGTTAATAAATTTAACCCCCTACGCGGTACTTCATACATAGATCTTCCTCGTGACATAAAATTAAAAAAGGCTGTTATAAATGTAAAAAACAAGGATTATTTTTGTTTTAAATGGGCGTTACTCTCGGCGTTATATCCTGTAAACAAACACACCGATCGGGTATCATCGTACGTTAAACATGCAAATAAACTTAAATTTGATGGTATTTCCTTTCCGGTTAAAATTTCTGACATAGCAAAAGTAGAGAAATTAAATGATATTAGTATTAATGTTTTTGGGTTAGAATATAATAAAGAAAAACGATGTAATTCTATAGTAGGTCCATTATTTTTAACAAAGTTTCGTAAAGATAGACATATCAATTTATTATTTTTTTCCAAGGATACAAAAAATCATTATTGCTATATAAAAAATTTATCGCGGTTAGTTAGTAAACAAATTTCAAAAGACGGTCACATCATGTACATTTGTGAAGCATGTCTACTTCGTTTTCCATCTCAGGAAAGGTTAAATAACCATGAACAATACGATTGTGCCCACATTTGTACAGTATTACCAAACAGTGAAACTTTAAAAAAAAAGAATTGGTTTGGTCAACCTATTTCAAATGATAAAATTAAATTTGATAGTTATGAAAAAAAGTTAAAGATACCATTCGTAGTTTATGCTGATTTTGAAGCATTTTTAAAACCAATAGAATCATGTTCTAACGATCCTTCCAAACCTTTCACTCGTAATATTCAGAAACATGAAGTACATAGTTTTGGATATTATATAAAATGTTCATATTGTAACGAACCCCCCCCCCCCATCTTTTTTTCTTTTCTACTATATATCCACTTATACTTGTATTTCTTTAGAATCTATATCTGTAAGATATATAAATATATCTAATTTACGTGACCAGTATAACTTGATCTTTCTAAAGGTTTAAATATAGGCCGTTTAATAAATTTATGGCGTGATCGTCTTAGTTAGGACCCTTTTTTACGTTGTGTTTGTATAGTAACTTAGTTCTTTTAGGTGTATCTTGGAAGAATGAATATTCACGAGAGCAATCGAAAGCTGTTGGTAGAGTCTTATAAGCTAAAGAACCCCATTCACGAAGACAGAGCTCAAAAAGGTTAAGAACAATAAATTGTCCCTATTCCACTTGTATCTGGTTCACAACAGTCAATTCCTTATTAATTAATCCCTTCCCGCTTGGAAAAGGCTCACAATATTTATATCAAATACCAGTTACAAGGGCTTCGCTCTCCCACATTTTTAAAAAAAATGTGGAGGAGGTACACGGCCCCACACACGCCGCGCACGGTGAGCGCCAACCATTTTAATGCGCTCCCCCCGAAGGGTACGCAAAGTTGGGAACTGGACCGTAGTCCACAGCAAAATAACTGGCGAACCAGTAAAAGAGGACTTGGCCCCTTGATAGTGCGTAAGCACAAACATCGACCGAAGTCGCGCATGTCAATGCGTGTAAACGCCATACAGAATACGATCAAATCCAGTCACAGTGAATGCACACGGGTTAGGCAACAATAGGCACACTGACCATAAAAAGCCTTCCGTGAGCGCCACCACCTGCCAGACCGCCGTTCCTGCAGACGTGATGTAAGTGTAAGGCATCACCATCAATTGCATGGTCAGCACGGCCAATTGGCCGCAGAGCGTGTCATGAGTCTACCGCTCACCTCAAGGGAATGGGGTCCCACGTTGCGCGGCTTTCGGCCGCAGCCTTGAGAGCCTCCTCAGATTCTCCCTCCAGCTACCACCCGCATGAGGTCAACACATATGCTCCACCAACCAATACAATGGCAGATATAGCCAATAGGCAGTTATAAGATAATATTAATAATTCGCCATCAGAAAGGGTTTGTGTCACTGACGTTGAGTATATGCATTTTTCGATCATGTTTGTCTCACCCACCAACAAGTTGCCTTCAATCTCTCAAAGGTGGGAACTTTATAGAGATATATTATTAAGTTGTTATATAAAACATCATGGAGGGCAGACAGTCTGCAGCCCCGCTATGAAGGGACCCGACTTGGGCAAAGCTACTTAGGTTGTGAGTCAAACCAAGACGCAGAGAGCGCCATTGAGAATAGCGACCCGCCAAACAACCATCGTAGAGACGCAATGCTACAGAATGCAACAAGCATCAATACGACTATCGTCGGGCTTACACCATCCCAAGGTCCCCCATACAGTCCCAGCAGACATCACCACCCGCATACCTCCATCGACCAGAACCACAAGATGCATCGAATCAGGTGCAGTACACCCGCAGATCCATCACAAGACGCAATACTACAAGTAGCAGTAAGCATCAATGCAACTATCATACGGATGGCGCCCCCTCACAACACACCCACATGATCCCTATCGACTTTGGTAACAAAATTTGATAATGTTGTTAACTAAAAATACCACCGACGTATCATAGTAGTACGGTACTAAGACGTCAGTAGCCAAAACTCCACGTATCATAGCGCTATTGCACTAAGACATGAAGTTGAGTATGCTTGCTGCACTTAAAAGTACTACCAAACACACTCACCCTAATCCGAAAGATAGCCGACGTATCATAACGCTATGCGCTAAGACGCCGCCCACAACCGGTAGGGGTGTGCGATGTCCACGGGCAAGTCGTATTGCTACAACAAACCCGCTTACCACCGGCACTAAGATGATATGTCTAGGACACATCGGTTAGTGAGTCCAAGTTTACCTCGGTCTCAGAGGCTGCGAAGCAACCTACACGCCACTATAATAATCCTTTTCAAGTCCCATTTCTTTCAATATAATGCTTTTACATATTTGAGACCTTCCACATATTTGCTTTATTTCATAGACCATACTACTGTATGTCTTATTCATATGGGACTTCAAGTCATAACTCTGCTATCATAATGCTTATGCATCATAGAGACCTTCTATATTAATGCTTTGGTTCGTCAGACCTTACTAAGTTAAGTCCCTAATATAGGACTAGTCATTGTGCAACCTTAGTACTAGCAGTCGGTCAGCCGACCACCCCATATATATGTACAACCTTGGGTATGTGTCTCCGACAACGCCCCAATATAAGGGAACATTACAAGAACACGTTCATTAACTTAGAAATTTTCCAATTATTACACGAACACCTTCATCAACTTAGAAAATTTTAATCCATTTTTTCTATTATATTACAAATGTTATTTATCTTTGTTATTGCAATATAATCGCCTTGTATTTATATGATTTGATATATTTTGAACATTTTAAGCAGGTTTTTAATAAATTTAGAGATTTTTTGAGACATTTTATGCGTTTAATAATATATATAATATTCAATATTCCAAATGGATATTTTTGAACTCTATGCTTATTATTTGCATTTTATTGTTTAAATTATAATTTCTATGACATTTTTAAATGTCTGTATAATGAATTTAATTATTATTTATTAATAATAATTATGAGGCGTCACAATCCACCCCCAAATTTTATGTTAATGATCCACATAGTGGAGTCGTTAATATAAAATTTTAGTATTTTGAGAGCATATACACTACACTCAAATAATTGTTTATATATCTGTTCTTTCCTCTTTTAATCTGTTACAATACGGCATATGTTATCAAATCCCCCTGCCCCAGGGAATGGCCGCCACCAACACCCCTTCAACCACAATTATCACAATGTGATAACACCATACTTTAAGTTATTGTATATCGTGTTGTTAATAAAGTTTGCAGTCAATTGTCGATTTCTTATTTTATTAATTTATCTTTAAATCTTTGAAACATTATTTCGATAGTGTCACACTTTATGTGCATACAATCCAGTTTGATATTTGTTGAGGTCAGTTCGATACCACATAGGATAAATGTGTTTGAGCCATTCGCCCTGACCCAACTCCCATATTTATTTAATAAAAATGATTACAAAATTATCTTACGATCTATATTTACAACTCTTCATTATATATTAATAACGTTCTACTATCATATAACAAATCTCTTGCTCATAACTTTAATAATTTTAGACCTTTAACTTAAACAATTATTTCCATGGGCCACCCACAAAACCCTTTTATGTTACAATATTTATTTAATTACTCTAATTTATACAAAAAGAAATTATTATTTAAAATATTTTAATAAGTGAATAGCATTGAAAATTCCTCTAATTTCGTTTGTCTCTGGATTTGCTAAGGTATATACATTGTCAAATGGTACGGCTGCTATTACATAAGGTCCTTCATATGCCAAATTAAACTTACTCATAACTTTATTATCAGCGTCTGATCTACTATATCTTGAAATTTTTACTAAGTCACCAATATTATATTTTATTAATCTATTTCGCTTATCAAATTTTGCGTTTCTTATTCGACTTGCCTCTTTTAAATTTTTACGCACTTGTTGTCTAATTTGTTCGACATTATGTTTGTCTTTACTTTTGGAAATTACTTTGTCAAAAGACATCTCATTAGACTCACCATAAAGAATCTCACAAGGCGTGAAGCCTGTACTATTGTGATAAGAATTATTATACAATTCTTCTAATTTCGGCAATATTAACGCCCAATCTTTGTGGTTAGTATGACAAAGCGTCCTAAATAATCTGCTCAACTCTTTATTTACTCGCTCTGTTGTATTTGGTCTAGGATTTCTAACTGTGGTATATATTGGCTTTATATTTAATTCACTCATTGATTGTTTCCAGTGATTACTTACGAACTGTTTTCCATTATCTGTCATTATTGCCTTGGGCTTTATAATCTCAACAAAATGCTTTACTTTTGTTACAACAGACTTTGCTGTTGACTGTTTTAAAGGATATAATTTGATAAATTTACTGAATGAATCTTGAATGACAAATATGAAAGTGTACCCAAAGGTACCTGATACAAGCGGTCCATATAAGTCTGCCATGACTATATCGCCAATGTTTTCTGTTATTATAGATTTGCAGGGACCCACATATGTTATATTGCTTTTCTTAGATAACTGACATAAATGACAAGCCCTTAATTGGTTTTTAATATCTTTTGTTAAACCTTTCCAAAAGAATCTGTCTCTCACATATTTAATTACCTTATAGGGTCCTTGATGACCCATTTCGACATGCACTTGATTTATAATATCTTGTCTCAATGCTTTAGGTATATATATTACTTCTTGTAAATTCGTTTTGTAATATAATACATCATTTTTCAAACTATATCTTTTTAATTTATTGTTTTGTTTTATTATGGAAGTATTTAATGTCTTTAACTTTTCAATAATAGCCAACGACTCTGAATCTTGTAATTGATATACTGATAAGGATTTTAATTTTTCTATCAACTCAATATTCTGTTCGCTCTCTGTGTAAGCAATTTCTAAACTATTATTTTTATCCTCTTGTATTAAATTGCCATCAGGAGGATAACGTGATAGCACATCTGCAACAATATTACGTCCACCCGATATATGCTGTACTTCATAATTAAATTGTTCTATATACAAAATCCATCGGGTTACTCTACCATTGAATAACTTCATATTATTAATAAACAATAATGCTTTATGATCAGTTAATATTATTACTTTACTGCCCCGCAAATATGTTTCAAATTTCTTTAGGCAGCTTATTACAGCATAAAACTCTTGTTCAGTAACAGACCAATTTAATTCGGGGCCTTTTAAGGCTTTACTATGATAGCCTCAAATTCTCATTTCATTATTATCATCTATCTGATATAGTACTCCGGCCATACCCACACCGGAACAATCTGTTTGTAAATAATACGGCTTATTAAAGTCTGGATGATGCAATTGTATTGTATTAATAAATTGTTGTTTTATAAAATCAAATGCCTTCTGTTCTTTACCGCTCCATTGGAACTTTCGTCCCTTTTTAAGTAATTCACAGAGCGGTATTATGCTCTCGCTGTAATTTGGTATAAACCTTCTATAAAAATTGCATAGACCTAAAAAGGCCCTTAATTGTTTAATCTTTTTAGGTGCTGGAAACTCTTGGATCGCTCGAATCTTATCGGGATCTATCTTTATGCCTTCTGTTGAAATTATAAAACCCAGCATTTTAATTTCTTTACAAATAAATTCACATTTCTGCAAGTTACACGTTAAGCCAGCTTTGTTCAATTTACTTAAAACAATATCAATGTGCTCCAAATGTTTATCTAACGTTCCTGTTGTAATAATGGCTAGATCATCTAAATAGTTCACACAAAATTCTTGGACTTCTGGTCCTAATATTAAATTCATGGCTCTGCTAAAGCTTCCTACTGATGTTTTTAATCCTTGCGGCAAAACATTATATACATATGACTTTCCATTGAATGTGAATCCAGTATATTTTCTACCATCTTTATTTATCGGAATTTGAAAATATGCATTATTTAAGTCAATGGTAGTGATATAATTCGCTCCGTGAAATGAATTCAAAACATCTAATTGTATAGGTGGTTTCTCTGTTTCTGCAACCATTTTCTTATTTATGCTTCTGGCATCAAGCAGAACTCTAATTGAGCCGTCTTTTTTAAGAGTGAATGTCAATGGACTACTGTAAGGCGTTGATGTCCTTGTGATGATACCAGCTTGTTCCATTTCATTTAACTTTTCTTCCATTTTCGATCTATATGCATATGGAATGGGATAGGACCTAGTAACTATAGGTTCATCATCGATCATTTCAATTTTATGCTCATAGCAATTGGCTCTTCCCAATTTGCTCGAAAACATATTTTTATGCTTTTCCAAAACCTTACTAAGTTTTGCCCTTTCAGAGACCTCCAATGTAGATCCTATTTTTATATTTATTAAGGGATCATCGGTACATTGTTTGATGCAGTTATTATGTAATACAGATTTATTATTATATTTGAAAGGTATAAAGTAGTCTTTGTTTTTCACTTTAAATTCTATTCCAACAGTAGTATTTCTCAAATCAATCAATATTTTATTTCTCTTGAGCCAGTCAAAGCCTAATATTAAAGGTCTTATTAAATTACCTACAATTAAAGTTTGTGTTTCAAAGACTACTTCATCTATCTTTATAGGCAATATGATCATCTGTTGTATTTTTGTGCTGCGCTGCCCAACAGCACCTTTTATTTGCATTGCTTTAACTGGCATTATTGATATTTTACGATTATTTTCTTTAATTTGTAAATATAAACTTTCTGAAATGCATGTAACATCGCTCCCAGTGTCGAGGAGCGCGTCTATTTCTTTGTCAAATATTGAAACTTTAATTTCAGATCTCATATTCCCTATAAATTCCCTTTGATATTTATCTTCGTCTTCCTCGAAGACGGTTTGCACGAATAACTCCGTTATGGGCAAGTCCGACCTGGCTTTTAAGGTGTTTAATATGCTATATACATTGTCGTTATAACCAAGGCCTTCTCTGTTAAAATTTGCTTTTAAAGTAATAGGTTTTCGCAACCCTCTATTGTTTTTACCCAATGTTTGACCAGGTCGCCAACCCAGTTTTAATAACATATTTAATGCTTTGTTCCCTTTTACATTGTAAGGGGTCGAATCGGGAACTAGTTCGACCTCTACAGCTCTAAATTTGGCTCAGGAGCCGTAACATCAGGTTGGTCATTAGTGAAATGTATTTCATGTACTTCATTAACCTTCTTTTTTCCCTCTTCGGGTTTACGCCATGTTTTGTATGATTGTTGTATTTCTTTATGTTTTTGCTCCGTATTATTATTAAACTTCCTCCTTTTCTCATTATAGTAAGGTTCACGACCTTCATCTTGTTTGTCGATGTCATCTAAGTTTCTTAAGAAATCTGTCGTGTCTATTATTGTCTCAATTTTAGCTATTCTCCATAATTGCTGCACAGTTTTAGGATAATGTCTGATGACATCAGTTACTAATTGTTTTTCAGGTATCGGATATGATAATGTTTGTGCCTTCTCAACCACATAAAGAAAATAACTAACCATGGTGGGGTGTGTACTTCTATTCCATTTATTTTGCACAAGGAATCTCTTTACTTTATTTTGTTCTTCTTCACCCCAAAACACTCTTAGGAAGTCGGCTTTAAAATCATCAAAAGTTATCCAACGCACATTATTAATGCGAGCCCAATACTTGGCTTTACCTACTAAGCACTCTTGTGCAATCGAAATTTCGAGACCACTAGATGGAACTTTCTTTAAATAATTGGTGAGATCTTCCAAAAATGATACTGGATGAGTATTTCCATTTCCAAATTTCGGCTTTTCTATTGTTACATTATGTACATTATATACAATATTTTGTCTAGGATCATTTACATGAGAGGTGCTCGCTCCGGACACCTCTCCTTGATTTATTTTAATTTGGTAATCTTTAGTTTGGTTAATAAATTTTTCCTCAAGATCCTTTATTTTAACCTCAAAGGTTTTCACTGCATTCTTAATTAATTTCTGAAGCATTTTCATCTCATCTTTAGGCTTAGCCTTAATTGAGGTTGATTTTTTCTTATTTTTAGCCATTTTAATTTTTATTTCCACTTTTTTTTTTTTTACACTTTTTGCGTCCTTCACTTACTTTAATTGAGTTTTTCCACTTATTTCACTTTATAATATATAGTATTGCAGTTTTTTTTTTTTTTTTTTTTTTTTGTACACCTGTTGTGTCCTTCACTTAGTTTAATTGAGTCTTTCCACTTATTTCACTTTTTATTATTTCGCTCCGTTATGCACACACCTCCTATATTATTACTCAATTTTAATATTTAAGCCCCACCCCCAGACTCTCAACCACCCCCAGCAAACACCACTCTCCAAGACACCTCTCCATTTCACGGACAACAAATTGTAGGCATATAGCCTACCTCATAATTTTATATTACCGGCCTCCTATTTAAAATTTAACCTCTATCCTGGTCACGGCACCAAATTGTAACGAACCCCCCCCCCATCTTTTTTCTTTTCTACTATATATCCACTTATACTTGTATTTCTTTAGAATCTATATCTGTAAGATATATAAATATATCTAATTTACGTGACCAGTATAACTTGATCTTTCTAAAGGTTTAAATATAGGCCGTTTAATAAATTTATGGCGTGATCGTCTTAGTTAGGACCCTTTTTTACGTTGTGTTTGTATAGTAACTTAGTTCTTTTAGGTGTATCTTGGAAGAATGAATATTCACGAGAGCAATCGAAAGCTGTTGGTAGAGTCTTATAAGCTAAAGAACCCCATTCACGAAGACAGAGCTCAAAAAGGTTAAGAACAATAAATTGTCCCTATTCCACTTGTATCTGGTTCACAACAGTCAATTCCTTATTAATTAATCCCTTCCCGCTTGGAAAAGGCTCACAATATTTATATCAAATACCAGTTACAAGGGCTTCGCTCTCCCACATTTTTAAAAAAAATGTGGAGGAGGTACACGGCCCCACACACGCCGCGCACGGTGAGCGCCAACCATTTTAATGCGCTCCCCCCGAAGGGTACGCAAAGTTGGGAACTGGACCGTAGTCCACAGCAAAATAACTGGCGAACCAGTAAAAGAGGACTTGGCCCCTTGATAGTGCGTAAGCACAAACATCGACCGAAGTCGCGCATGTCAATGCGTGTAAACGCCATACAGAATACGATCAAATCCAGTCACAGTGAATGTACGTCACACGGGTTAGGCAACAATAGGCACACTGACCATAAAAAGCCTTCCGTGAGCGCCACCACCTGCCAGACCGCCGTTCCTGCAGACGTGATGTAAGTGTAAGGCATCACCATCAATTGCATGGTCAGCACGGCCAATTGGCCGCAGAGCGTGTCATGAGTCTACCGCTCACCTCAAGGGAATGGGGTCCCACGTTGCGCGGCTTTCGGCCGCAGCCTTGAGAGCCTCCTCAGATTCTCCCTCCAGCTACCACCCGCATGAGGTCAACACATATGCTCCACCAACCAATACAATGGCAGATATAGCCAATAGGCAGTTATAAGATAATATTAATAATTCGCCATCAGAAAGGGTTTGTGTCACTGACGTTGAGTATATGCATTTTTCGATCATGTTTGTCTCACCCACCAACAAGTTGCCTTCAATCTCTCAAAGGTGGGAACTTTATAGAGATATATTATTAAGTTGTTATATAAAACATCATGGAGGGCAGACAGTCTGCAGCCCCGCTATGAAGGGACCCGACTTGGGCAAAGCTACTTAGGTTGTGAGTCAAACCAAGACGCAGAGAGCGCCATTGAGAATAGCGACCCGCCAAACAACCATCGTAGAGACGCAATGCTACAGAATGCAACAAGCATCAATACGACTATCGTCGGGCTTACACCATCCCAAGGTCCCCCATACAGTCCCAGCAGACATCACCACCCGCATACCTCCATCGACCAAAACCACAAGATGCATCGAATCAGGTGCAGTACACCCGCAGATCCATCACAAGACGCAATACTACAAGTAGCAGTAAGCATCAATGCAACTATCATACGGATGGCGCCCCCTCACAACACACCCACATGATCCCTATCGACTTTGGTAACAAAATTTGATAATGTTGTTAACTAAAAATACCACCGACGTATCATAGTAGTACGGTACTAAGACGTCAGTAGCCAAAACTCCACGTATCATAGCGCTATTGCACTAAGACATGAAGTTGAGTATGCTTGCTGCACTTAAAAGTACTACCAAACACACTCACCCTAATCCGAAAGATAGCCGACGTATCATAACGCTATGCGCTAAGACGCCGCCCACAACCGGTAGGGGTGTGCGATGTCCACGGGCAAGTCGTATTGCTACAACAAACCCGCTTACCACCGGCACTAAGATGATATGTCTAGGACACATCGGTTAGTGAGTCCAAGTTTACCTCGGTCTCAGAGGCTGCGAAGCAACCTACACGCCACTATAATAATCCTTTTCAAGTCCCATTTCTTTCAATATAATGCTTTTACATATTTGAGACCTTCCACATATTTGCTTTATTTCATAGACCATACTACTGTATGTCTTATTCATATGGGACTTCAAGTCATAACTCTGCTATCATAATGCTTATGCATCATAGAGACCTTCTATATTAATGCTTTGGTTCGTCAGACCTTACTAAGTTAAGTCCCTAATATAGGACTAGTCATTGTGCAACCTTAGTACTAGCAGTCGGTCAGCCGACCACCCCATATATATGTACAACCTTGGGTATGTGTCTCCGACAACGCCCCAATATAAGGGAACATTACACGAACACCTTCATCAACTTAGAAAATTTTAATCCATTTTTTCTATTATATTACAAATGTTATTTATCTTTGTTATTGCAATATAATCGCCTTGTATTTATATGATTTGATATATTTTGAACATTTTAAGCAGGTTTTTAATAAATTTAGAGATTTTTTGAGACATTTTATGCGTTTAATAATATATATAATATTCAATATTCCAAATGGATATTTTTGAACTCTATGCTTATTATTTGCATTTTATTGTTTAAATTATAATTTCTATGACATTTTTAAATGTCTGTATAATGAATTTAATTATTATTTATTAATAATAATTATGAGGCGTCACAATATGATGATAAATTATCAAAATATGTAACATATTGCGGACCCAACTGTGCACAAGTGTTTATGGAAAGTTTATCTAACAA